ATACCAAAGTTTTGAATTTCTGCAAAAATCTGATATGTTTATATCGTAAAGACTATTCATTTTTAGTTTTTTTTTATTTATAATAATTATATAAACGAACTATTTTTTCTTCTTTAAATATTATTCATTCGTTTTTTTTCAAGTCTTCAAAAACACTTGGAGTGCAGTAAAATTTTTTATCTTAAACCCACATATGAATAAGTAACTTTAACAATGATGGATGTGTTTAGTGATTTAATGTATCAAAAATATATAAAATATAGCTCCCTATAGGTGTTTACACTAATTCAAAATTGATTTTTATTTTTTCAAATTACCAAGATGTTTCTGGATTCGAATAAGTATATACGTACGATACTAAAATATTTTTTACCTAGATCCCATTCTCTTCCTTTTTCGTGGCGTTCGCTTTCAGCAATCACATACCATATGCACGCAAACCAATGTGCAACTAATGTGAATAGGAGCATCAAAAGTGTGAGAATCATGCCACCATATTGCGAATACCTGTCGATCTTTTGCAATAGTCTCGCTAACCTCAGTAGTCTGGTCAGCTTTAACAAATGAACTTGTCCTGAACCGGCTTCCTGTAAACCAGAAGAAAAAATCAAGRCAGATGTTGATAAAACCGTTACCTAATTAAAACTAACAGTCAAAGCAAAGGCATTTATTTTAAAAGTAGGATACTATGCGAAGAAGATAAACTAATCATTTTAAGTGGTGGGATAATGGAATATACATTATCTTATTACTTCAAATTAGTAGGTAGGTAGGTATACCTTCGTCTTCATCCAGAAGACACCATTAGATACGTTTTAATAATATTAAATTAATATATAATAATGTTAGTCCATAATTTGCATAAAATTCTGTGACTAAGTTCGTTTAAAAATTATTCAATATATATTAAAATATTATATAATATATACATTATAATAAAACGAATGYTCAAATTTTATCACCTCCATAGGAAAATATCTCACATTCGACGAATTGGTCAAAATGTTTTATAATATTAYTATGAATATATCTTTTAAAAAAACACAGTATCCACATGCGTGTGTCTCCGTACGTATTACACACGAATGACATATCACATTTTCTTTCACTGGTTTCAATAGTAAGATGTTAGTTTTGATATTAAAGTGAATTACCTATTATAAATTTAAAGGTAAGATTGTTGTCTAAGCTCCACGTAGGTCTAACTGATATTATTGTTTTCAAGTCTGTTATATGACCTTTTATTGAAATTGTACATTTTTATTACATTTACAGGTCTGTTTGCACAATACTACTCCTAATCATATCTTACTCAAAAATAATGATATCAATAAAAGATTATGTGAGGCACTAGATAATAATCTTACCTCTAAATNTTTTTTTTTTAATTTTCCTTGAAAGAACAAGTCATTCTCATTCATATAGTTCATACTTGTATTTATTTCTAGTAAAGTAAAAAGTATGTAATGTCTATATTTCTATAATAATAATTCAACATATATATTTTCACAAAATTATATAACAATATAAAATGTATTTTTTTCATGTACTACCAACTACCATATTGCACTTTTTAGATTATCCTTTAGTAGTAATGTCTCAACGCCATTAAAAAAAATATCATATCGAGCATACTGAGAAAAAATGGAAGTTATTCAATGATGATCCCTATAAAAGTAAATTGTTTATATTTTTGTTACTGGGATTGATGTTGAATCTTATTTTAAGTTACTAATATAATTAATGCGTTTGCTATCCATTTAAATTTAAATTCAAAATTGTTGACTTATAATTTAAAATAATAATTCTATAAAATAATTTTAACTTAGAACTTATCAAAACTTAATTGCCTGTCATTATATACACTTTTATTACGTATTAAACAGATAACTTTTTGTTCTTGGTTTTTAATTATATAGACAAATGCAATTTCATTTTAAAGCATATTTCAAAATTATTATTTATTTTATATTTATCAAGTATTGTTAACACATAATCTAACAATAGATTTGAGCATACATCACTTTGAGAGGACGCTRCACACATATTTGCTGTCTCCGTCTTACTCGTACGTATAACATAGCAAATTTACGCTTAGCAGATCACGTTTAATTCAGTTAGTTTAAAAATTAGAGTAAATTGATCTTTTATGAAACTTGGAGATAAGAACATTATATTTGTTATTATATGGGTTTTTGAAGATAACTTAGTTTTTAAGTGAATTATAAGTATTTTTAATTTATGATTTTTCATATACGCAAAACTTGTTACGAAATTAAACTTTCGTAAAAAAAATCCACATACAAACACAGATAATGTTCTTAACATCAAGTTTCATAATAAATTGATCTACTCTATTTTTTAAACTAACTGAGCTAAACGTGATCTACTGAGCGTAAATTTGTTATGTTATGCACTTGTAAGTTGGAGATAATATGGTTGTGTAACGTCTTCTTAAGAAAAACAAATTCAATCTAACTTATGAGTTTATCACTATTACTTTTATTGTTTTTAGACATTATGTATATATATATATATATATATTGGTCAACTTCTCGCTTCATTTAGCTAGGTTAAGTATTATATTTTAAATTACTAAGTAGTATAAAATTAATAAATATAGAAGAAAAAAGAAATGTAGGAAACCACATGCCATTAGACAGTTTAATGAGTTTGTAAGTAATTTTCCTTGGTTTTCAATACATGAGGTTCTTAAATAACTTGATGCAATATTTCAATTCATGGCTCTTAAAAATATTTAAAGATGATACTAAATAATTTTTTTTATTGAAGTAATGTAAAAATATTTATGTTGAGGAAAACAAAAATAACCTAAAACCAATTTAAAAAGTTACATCAGTTGTCATAAAAGTAATTTTGGAGATTATTTCCGTATATTTATTTTTTAAATGATAACCAATATTTACCATAATACTAATGCACCTAGCAATACTGCTTTATGCATTCAATTCAAATGAAATAGCATTAAATGCATTACTATTTTATGTTGAATGAGTTTTTTTTCTTTAGAGATGTAAATATCCTTGAAATTATTATACAAATATAATTTGTTTCCATTCAAATCTCACTGGAAGTAAAATACATATCTTCTACCAATTTTTAGCTATATATACAACATTCTTTTTTTTTTTTCTATTCAAAGTTTACAAGAACCTAATTTCTAATAGAAAATATAAATATACCATATTTCGATGAAATGAATAAATGCGATACACGTATTATATACAAATCACAAACAAACGCTGTAGATTATGCTTATGTAGGTGTAAGTGTAATACATGTAAAAAGTAAATTTGACCCTTAGAAAACTGTACTACAATAATATAATATTATAATAATACAGTTTTATAAAATTATACTCACAAATCATATTTATCGATAGTAATAAATATTAAAATTTAATTCAGAGTCGTTTGAGATAATAAGAACCATCGATCATTTAAATTAGTTTGGTATTTATTTATTAAAACTTTAAAATAGTAACATACTTTATTAAAGCGTCATATCGATTTATTTTGAAACTATCGTTTTGGAAGATAAAATTATTTATTTTGTTATCGATCGCAACAAACGTATAATATTATGGTACCTACTTTATGCGTTTTAGCTGTAATTATTTGTTAAAAACTTATTAAATGTTTTTAATTTCTCTGTAGGATTTAAAAATCTTAAACTGTCATTAGAATTAAAATTTTCAAAATTTATCGTTATACCAAAGTTTTGAATTTCTGCAAAAATCTGATATGTTTATATCGTAAAGACTATTCATTTTTAGTTTTTTTTTA